TGGGGCTTTATTGTATTTTTTCTTGTCATAATTTTTGACATTTTATGGTTCTTATCCAAATATTTTCTGGCTGATTTTGGGTTTTGTATTGTTTTCCTGTTTTTGTATTTTGTATTTCGTTTTTTATTTATTATTATTTTTTTGTGGTCCTTATCTCTGACTAATTGTATCTACGTCTGTTTAAGGTTTTTATCATTCTTTACCCAATTGCGGTTTTTGTAATTAAGATGAAGAAGATCTGTGATTTTTTTCTTTTTTTTTTTTTTTTTTTGCTTGCTTGCTTGTATGGTTAACTTCTTTGGCTATAATTTTATTGTACATTTAAAAAAATCCATACACACACCACACACACAACACACACACACACACACACACACACACACACACACACACCACACACACACACACACACACACACACACACACACACACACACATACAAACTGTACATAAGTCTCCTTCCATATAAGTTCGGAATCCTTTAGTGAAACCTTTTCCTTTCCTCGTCTTCCTTCCGGGTGCCTCCTCTCTCTCTCTCCTCTCTCTCTCTCTCTCTCTCTCTCTCTCTCTCTCTCTCTCTCTCTCTCTCTCTTCTCTTCTCTCTCTTCTTGTTCGCTTTCTCTCTCTCTCTCTCTCTCTCTCTCTCTCTCTCTCTCTCTCCTCTCTCTCTCTCTCTCTCTCTCTCTCTCTCTCTCTCTTCTCTCTCTCTCTCTCTCTCTCTCTCTCTACATTCTTGAGGATCGAACGCCGGTCTTCTGCACTGAGGCGGTTACTAAACAGCTGATCTGATCTGAGTTTTTCCTTAGAATATCACAAATAAGTTGTTTTTTTTCCTTAGAATATCACAAAGTTGGGCTTTTTCCTTAGAATATTACAAATAAGCTGGGTCATTTTTCTTTCTTTTTTGTGTTTGTTTTTGTCATGGAAACAGCCTTTCCTTTATTGTATTGGTCTAATAGATCTTAATGGTTTTTTATATTGTGTAATAGTTATTGTTTCCATTAATTTCACTTCAAATATGAAATGTGTCGTGTGTGTGTGTGTATGTGTGTGTGTGTGAGTGTGTCTGTGAGTGTGTTGGTGTGTGTGTGTGTGTGTGTGTGTGTGCTGTGCGTGTGTGTGTGTATGTGTATGTGCGTCTATATCTGTATGCGCATGCTCGTATATGCCTACGTGTGGTTTCACATCCACCCCCTCACTGCATTGACATTAACACGACAACAATCCGCTGAAAAAATATTTTATTTCTCCTCTTTTACATACACGCATTCTCTCCGCCATTTAAGGAAAATGAATAAACCACAAATTCCCACAAAGACATCGGGTTTTTCAGGAAAATTCGAGCACAAAGTATGCGAAGGATTGGTTCTCGCTCCAGCAGTCGCCTGACACTGAGATTCCTGGAAAGCAAAATCGGGTTTTAGAATTATTATCCACTCTCTTTTTTTCAGATAGGTTTGTCTGTGTCTGTCTGTTTGTTGTTGAGATTGAAGGAGGGGGAGGGAGAGAGAGGTGAAGAGAGAGAGAGAGAGAGAGAGAGAGAGAGAGAGAGATGGAGGAAGAGAGAGAGATGGGGAGGGAGAGAGAAGAGAAGAGAGAGATGTGGGAGGAGAGAGAGAGAGATGTGGGAGGGAGAGAGAGAGATGGGGGAGGGAGAGAGAGAGATGGGGGAGGGAGAGAGAGAGATGGGGGAGGGAGAGAGAGAGAGAGAGACATATACATTAAAATTTATTACTGGACACAAGACCAATATTTCAAAAACAGTTATTAATATGCATCCATGTCTTCATCCTTACATCAGAAAATTTCCTTTAGCTATCGAGTTGTCGGCGAGGTCAGGTCAGGGTCAAACCGCCACAGGTCAAGACAGGTCACGCGGGCAGGTCATTGCCTGTAGAGAGATTCTGATTAATATATCTTTCAATTTCATCATCAAAATAGATTCATTTCGTCACTTTTTTTTAATCACATGTCATTGGTTTTTACTCTTGTCCACCTCATTACCACATGAAATGATTAATTAGATTGAGCAATTATGTTTTATCGACTATATATTGCCCATTATTAAAGAATATGTATCTCATGCCACCCCATTGAACGCAGATAATAGAAATGACAATATTATTATGACAAGAAAAAAAAAATGAAGTTGAATTAAAAAAAATAATCGGATTACTATTATCAATTTTTCATTAACTAATTTTTGGATGATTTCACTCAGAATTCAAAAAGAAAATTCCGGGCTATTTACTCAAAAAAGAGGATTGCGTTGATAAAGATCGTAAGAGGGGGAGGAGGGAAAAGAGGAAGGAGAGAAAGAGATAGAGTGGTGACATACAGAGAAAGAAAGAGATGTGACATAAAGAGAGAAAGAGAAAAAGAGAGAGATGACATAAAAACAGAAAGAGATAGAGTGGTGAAATAAAGATATCCACCCACCTATCCATCATCTATCCACTTTCTATCCACCACCCACCCTTCATCTATCCATCTATCCACCTTCTTTCCACCTCCTATCCATCCATCCACCTTCTATCCACTTACACTTCCAACCGCAGAGCAAAGTCGCCCAAAATCGAACAGCTGATTCGGTTCCGCCCAACCGTTCCTCGTTCCATCTCCTCTTCCACAAAAGAGGATGGAATGGAGAACACGCATTAGAGAGGGTGATAAAGAAGGGTGAATGGATAACGAATAACTGGTAATATTATTGATAACGGATGGTTGGTAATACTGATAACGAATAATTGATGATATTGTCGATAATATTGATAACAAATAATTGATGATAATATTGATAATATTGATAATACTGATAATAGATAATTGATAATATTGATAATGAATGATTGATAATATTATTAATAATATTGATAACAAATAATTGATTATATTATTGGTAATATTTATAATACTGATAATGAATAATTGATAATATGATTGATACCGAATGAATGATAATATTGATAACGAATAATTGATAATATTATTATTGACAAATGACATAATATTGTTGATAAGGAATATTTGATATTGATAACGAAATATTGATAATATTAGTGGTGCAACAGCAATAAAGGTTATATTAGTGATAGTTCTGAGTTTGATATCGTCTCACGTGAAGTAATTAGGGTCATTATAATAGTAATAAAGCCCCTAAGTATTATTAAAGTTATAGCATTCATTGTAGATTTAGCACAAGTAATAATAACAAAAATTAGAACAGGTATAACACGAAGCTCTGAGAACATGAGTGTAAATAATAATAATGATAATCTTGATAATGATAATGGTTATGTTGATAGTAATATTAGTAACGATGGAAGTAATAATATTGGAAAAATCATTTTGATAGTAATTATGATCCTGATGATAACTATAATAACCATGAGGATGATAATGATGATAATAATAATAATAGTAAGAGTAATAATGAAATGGATACTAATGATATTGAAAATAACAACAATAATGATAACAATAACACTAATTATATTAACAATAACACTAATAATGTTAATAGCAATGAAGACTTTAAGCATAATGGCTATAATAATACCAATAACGAAGTAAAATTAGATATTCACAGTTATAACATATTGAAAAAAACAATACTTTATCCGTTTTAGAAATGTTGTTAACTTTAAATTCTCTTTTTGCTTATTTTCTATTACCACAATAATGTACGTGAAAATGATGGTAGATATTTAATTGCAATAAATCTAATGATAATGATGATGAATATTAAGAAATAACATAGTATTAACCATGTAATATTTTCTGTTACCAAGCCATTCACAAAAGAACAAAATGCAGAACAAACCTTAAGTTCTTCGTAAGTTTGTGCTAAAAATGGTTATTTGGGATAAAACTGTAGAGTAATAATTATTATCCTATTATTGTCCTAGTCTTGTCTTTCATGTAATTGATTTTTTTTTTTTTTTTTTTTTTTTAGTTTTATCAGATTTTTTTTCTCTGTGAAGCTAAGCATTGCATTTATTTCTCGTAAAAGCTTAAATATGATTATTTATTTGAATGATATATAAATAGTTTGTGTGAATTTATCATTTATTAGATAATCTAAATTTGATGTTACTGAAGATTTTATATATTTTACAAAATGATACATGTATTTTTTTATGAATTTTATTACATACGTATCAGGTTTAATTTGGATAATAATTGAACTAAAATTCTCTGTGAAGGATTTTGACTAACCTTTTCTTTGTTTTCTTTTGTATTTCTTCCTTTCCGTCTTGTTCTTTCTTCTTCTTTTCCTCTTCACATCTTCCTCGCCCTCTTCTCGTCCTCATTCGTTCTCTTTCTGTTCCTCGTCCTCCTATGTCTCTTCTTCGTCGGCCTTTCCTTCACTCCCTTCTCCGTCCTCCTCTTCGCCCTCTTTCCTTTTCCTCTTCTCCTCTCCCTCGTCCTCCTCTTCCTCTTTTCCTCTTTTTCCCTCCTCTTCTTCTTCTCCTCTTCTTCCTTCTCCTCTTCCTCTTCCTCCTCCTCCTCCTCCTTCGTGACCTCGTCTTCCTCGTCCTCCTCTTCCTCCTTATCCTCTTACTCGGCCCTGACCTCGCCGTCACTCCTCATTCTCCTCTTCTTCCTCCTCTTCCTCCTCTTCCTCCCTTCTATTCGCCTCTTTCCTCTCTCCCTTTCGTCTTTTTTTTCTTGTTCCTCTTCCTGTCCTCCTACGCTCTCGTCATCTCTTCTCTACGTCTTCTTTCTATCCGTTCCTTCGTCTTCTTTCCTTCCTCTTTCTCGTCTTCGTCTTCATCCTCTTCCTCGTTATCTCCCTCTCCCTCGTCATCGTCCTCTTCCTAGTCCTCTTCCTTCCCCTCTCCCTCGTCCTGTTCCTGTTCCTCTTCCTCTCTCTTCTCCTCTCCATCGTCTACTTCCTCTTCCTCGTCATCGTCCTCTTCCTTCCCCTCTCCCTCGTCCTCTTCCTCTTCTTCCTTTTTCTCTTCCTCTCTCTTCTCCTTTCCCTCGTCTGCTTCCTC